GGAAAGAGAAAGTTCTGGCAAGTTTAATTTAATTTAGGTTTTCCATTGCTGTTATTTGTCAAATTTAGGAAATTGGAAAAAAAACAAACAAACCAACAAAAAAAAACAGCCAACACCGATAGTCTCATTAAGTGCATAAATAAAATAAAGAAATCTCTCACATGCCAAAGGTACAAAACCAGTCCTCAGATTAAGCTGGGAACCCAATACATTATGGTGAAATTCTGCTGAAATTACAAGGTAATTCAAGTGCAGCACTGAAGAGGTTAAGTCATTAAGAGGTCACTGTGGCAAAGATTATTTCTGTCTGCTTGGACTGATCAGGTACCTTCAAAAGGAAGCCCGAGACCTGAGCACATTGTGAAGGACATGGTTTTCAGGGCTCCATCACATCCCCAGGTCTGTGCTTGAAGCAATCAAGATGTAACAAATGTTCAAAGGAAGACAAAACTTTCATTTTAACAGAAGCAGGTAGGTTAAGAAAATAGTCTAAAATTACACAGAGGTCAAATGTATCTACTTATCTTCAGTACCTAAGTGAAAGGCCTCTGCAGCAAGGGAGCTGAGAAAGGATGTTTCTCTGTGCTCACTTCACAAATACAAAATTAATATATTCATTTTGAAAAGAAGGAAATCCTCCCTTCCTGCCAAACCTTTGAAACAGTCTCCAAGTTAATTGGGGCTGACAGGTAGAATTACTGCAAGGAAAAGAAAGAGCCCAGGCCAGTCCCTGCAATGGGGAGCCCTCCCGCCTGTGCCCCACCGGGCTTCCATTCACGACTTCTATTTATGCACTAGCAGCATTTAGGACTCCTAAGGACAAAACCTTCCACTCAAAGATCAGTTACCAAACACAATAAGAGACGTTTCCTGCTCCAAAAGTGTTCAGAAACTAGTAGAGAAATAAACTGGTTTTAGTCCCTGTTCATCATGCAGAAACTGAGGTACAGAGGGAGGCGGTGAGCAGGCAAGGACATGTGAGATGTGCCTTGCACATCTGGATATCGGTCACAACTCACCCAAGCCTCAGCCCAGTGCCGCCTCCTCCCAAAAGCTGGGTTTGCCAGCTCCCCCAGGCAGGAGAAAGCAGCTACTGCTCAGCCTGCAAGTTCACAAGCCTGCTTTTCACAAATACACTCTGAGTGCAACAAGGTGGAAGACACTCCTGAAATCATGAACTCAAGCAGCAGCCCAGGAACTGCTGAGCAGGAACTGATCCGAACACCGTTTACCCCAAAAATCCCCAAACCACCTCACATTAGGGCTCTCTTTTCAGGTTGGCAGGTGCTCAAGCTGACAACATTTGTCCCTCCACACTGTAAAGGAGGCAGGAGAACAAACAAAAGCCTCTGGAGGAAAGCACTGTCCTTGGTGGACTGCAAGCCTGAGTCCATGCTATGCAGCAAAGGTCTGACCTAGCCAGAGCAGATGACAGAGCTGGTGGGAGCTGAGGACATCTGCCCTCTCAGAGGACCTCAGAATAGCAAGTCCTGCACAGAAAACTGCTCCTGCAGGGAACAGTAACAGCTTTACAATGAGAAGAAGCAAAAGACATTTTTTTACAGAGCATTATCTTGCTGCAAGCACACAGGGGAGAGCATCGACTCAGAGCAAGGCCAGGAGAGCTGAGGTAGTGCCAGAGCAAACACCTCCCCTCCCAGAGCAACGCCTGGCTCTGCCAGGGCTGCCCACATTCCAGGGGAATGTTCGTGAAGCCAAGTACTCCCTGGGAGGAAGGGTAATACTGCCACAGTTAGGGTCTGAAAGAGGTGCCTTTTAGCTCAGATACAGCAGCCAGTTTGGGGTTAAACGCAGATTTACTCTGATGTCCATTAAGATATTTTCCAAGGCTCTAGGTCCAGTTTCACGTGGGAAAATGTGCCAGAATGAATCAAGCTCCTCACAAGCAAAAAGTCAGTAATTAGTATGTGGGACAGAGCATTGCAGTGTCTAAACAGAGACGCAATGAAGCAGAAAACCAGGGAGGCAGATGCTTGCAGGTCACAGAGATGAGTGCACCACCTCCAGTATGAAAAGGAAGATGTGGGGAATCTCCAAATTGGGGGCTGACATTAGTGAGGAGAAAAGCAACTTCTTTTCTTTCTGGAGCATAGTCATCAATGGAGCTGTTGGCACTGGGAGTGGGGAATAGTTCAGATTGATGGGCCTGGTTTCAGATGTTGAAACACCGGCATATCTGCTCCTTCTGTGGTGATCAGGATTTGCTCTGTTTCTGACAACAGAGCCACTGCTGCTAAATGAGATGAAAAGCCTTTCAGGGCCGTGGCAGGCTGGAAGTGCCAGTGCTGTTTCAGGACGAATCCAGCTAGCAGGATCCTGCAAGAACTGTGTCCTTACAGCCAGACCACAACCCTCATGCTAAACCTCCTGCAGAAAGCTCTTAGCTATGGGCCAGGTAAGAGCAGAAATAAGGAGCTGTGCCTCTGAAACACTGGTGCCAACTTCTGTGATTTTGTCCCAAGTCCCATGATGTACAGCTTTTTTCTTAAAACTCCTGATGGAAACATGCTATTGCATGAGATATTTAACAGTTCAGAAGCACAGAGCTAATACTGCCACACTACCCAGAAGAGTTTAAAAATGTGACAGTTCTTACAAAAAACAACAACAACAAGAAACCACAACAAAAACAACAACTCTAGACCTCTTTCTTTTGTAAAATGACTAATTTTAAAGTCCACATCATAATGTTAGGAAGCCAGGTGCTCTTGCTTTCCCCGCCCAAGAAAATAGAAACTGAGGGCCAGATCTGCAGAGCCACTTGCACATCTCCCATTGGGGACTGCAGAGGGGACACCACTTGACCATAGAGCCTGAAAGCAGCATCCCTCACTCAACCCATTTACCAGCACTGTGAGCAGACATGGGGTCTCCTCTGTGGGAACACAGGGAACGGAAGTTTTTAATTTTATTCCTTCCTGGAGCTCCATAAATCTTGCTTCACAATAAACTCATCAAAATCAACCGAGCCATGAAGCAAATGGAAAGGCCCTGGGTGGAGAAGTTCATTGTATGTGTCAGGGCTGACAGGAACTCTGAAGAGTCTGTTTAGCAACAAATATTCTTTGTCGAGCTAATCTCGCTATCTTCCTCAACCCTCCTATTAAATTTACTTAAATCTGTTGGGCAATGCAGATTGTTTGGCCTTCTCTTGCTGCAATAAGCTATAG